TTGTACTTACTTGTCCATTCTTAAAACTTGAATGATGCAATACATCCCGATTACATCTTGGGACAATGAAGGTAAGAAGGCACAGGCAGCACTCCTGTCCTTTAGGAGCTTGGCCACTAACCATATCCTCTAGTTTGCAAATCCCCTGACATCCTGGATATTAGCAATGGTTTTGTTGCTCTTCAAATTCAAGCATAAAGATGCACAAGTTACCATCCTTCCAACATGAGAACATTTTTCCTGGAAACAATTTTGCCATATGGTGGCCACACTTAAAAACTTATTGGCATTACTGAAGTATGTAAACCTGGATCATACTAATATAACTATAGTATTTTTGCCAAATAAAATCATTACTGAATGAAATTTGTCCATATCAAAGATGCATATTTACAAATATACCTTTTACAAAAAAAAAATCTAAGCATTTATTGGTATCAACAAGTATGCACACATAACATCCTATATTATAATAAACATGCATTTTTGTCTACTTTACCTTGTAATAGAAATTTTCATCTTCAAATTTTTCACCGTAAATACTTTCTCCACCTGTCCCATTCTGATTTGAGAAGTCTCCACCCTGAATCATAAATTTCTTAATAACTACAAAAAAGGAAAATAGCTATGAGAAACTAAGATACGGATGGCTTCGGCAATGTTAACTAATGAATATGTGATTACGGATGGTTTCGGCAGTGTTAACTAATGAATATGTGATAATAAAGACAACTTTCTAAAACACGACTCCAGTCATGTCACTCTGTCTTTCCGCACCACTTGACTCTTTCAAGACTTTTCACAGAGTCCAAACAGCTTTTACTGCCTGATACCCCACTAACACTCATGGAACTAGTTCAAATGGCACCTCTCCAATAAAGCTCTTCCCCAAAGTTGGATCTCCTAATTTTTCTCCCTCAGTAAAATATATTTTATAACATAAATCACAATGATCTCTTTTTTTCAGCAAACAGTTAAGTACAGCAACTCCTTTTTTCATCCTTGTTACTACGTGCTTGGCCGGGCACATGTTAGTCACTCAATAATGTCTTCTGAATAAAAACCAATTACTCCCAGTAGCCTTATTATACCGTAATGGAAGTACTTCAGCAAATATAATCACTTGGTGTCA